CCAAATTACACACACACACACACACACACGCACACACACACACGCATCTGAGTGGCTTCTGCAACTGCTTTCAGGAATAATTGTAAGAGCAATTACGCCTCTCAGGAGGCAGCTGATGCAGGATCAGATGTTCCCCCGACTCCCTAATTAGCAGGGGAGAAAGAAGGAGTGAAGAGTGATAAATCAGGAAGCTGGGCAAAGTCCTGGAAAATCCCTGATCCCTTCCATTTACTTGCCTGACAATTGAGGCCACTTTAGGGGGAGGCTGCATGGCTGGACTTGGTCCCTGTGCTCCCTTGTTGTTCTGGGACTGTCTCTTCCTCAACTCTGAAATGTCCCTCCCCCATTCTATGCACCCAAAGGGTCCTGGCACTCCTGTCTGCCCTCAACCATGCTGTGCTCCTCACAGCCCTGCCTTCTTTCTCACACAGCCCTGTGAAGTCTCACCCCCCGTGGTATTTTGCCAGTCATCTCTATTTCACGTGCTTGGCTGAAACCATACCTTTCCTCTCTGACTTGATGGGCTGTGTCTATATGTACACTCCTCACTCTATTACTAGAGTCATTTTCCAGATAAAATTTTGTTCTGAACCACTGTCTGTCCTCTGCCTATGCAGATCCCAGGCACCTCCATGTACTATCATGTTCTCTAGAAATGCAAAGCCACCTTAATGTCCCCATGATTCCCACTCAGGGGAGCACACTCAGTGCACATAGGCCGTCGTCAAAGCATAAGACAGGGTCTCATGTGCTGGGCTGAATCATCACCTGAAGCTCAGCAGCAGCAGACTGGAAGGAGCACCAAATGGGAAGGCAGGCGACTTGGCTCCCCTCCCCATGATACTCCCATGCACTGTGTGACTGTGGGGCTTCGTGTTTTTCATGGGCAAAATGAATTAGTCAAAGCTGATGAACTTTAAAGAAGTTAAATCCTTAAAACTATCTTTAGGCAGGTAACACACTGTAATCCATCAGCAAACCTTTGCAATGGCCCCCAACAATAAAATTGCCAACTTACTGAGTACGACCTATGTACTAAGCACATATATTGCCTCACCAAATTCTCACAGAATTCTAAGGAGTTGTTAGTATCCCCGTTTTACAGACAAGGACACTGAAATTCATAGAGGTGAAATGTTTTGTCCAGATAATAAGACGTGCAGGTGCAATTCAGGGGGAGAATGCGTGGCTGGACTTGGTCCCTATGCTCCCCTGTTGTCCCTGTGTCCCCAGGCCTGTCTGATAGCAAAGCCAGTGCCCACCATTGAACAGTAACACTCCTCCAGATTGGATTAGGCTGAAATAACTTAAACACCAGACCCAGCCAGGAAGTGGAGCTCCCGATTCCCAGGACCAAAGAGGGTCACCCGAAGGGCATTTTGGCTGAATGAGAGCCAGAGAAAACTGGCACTCCCTCCAGAAAACCCAGAACTGGCCGTGTTGGGGTAAATGACTAACTCACAGAGCTGGAATGTGCCTTTGAAGTCACCCAGTGAAACCCGTCACAGCCATCAGATGCTCAAGCACCTAGCAAGATAGCCTGACGGGGAGGAGAGCCCCTGACGGAAGGTCAGGACACACGGGTTCCAGCCCGGCTCTATCACAGCCTCGCTGTAGTCTCTTGGACAACTCTTATTCTCTCCAGACTTCAATCCTTGTTGGAAGGCAGATGAGCCCCAATGGTGGGGAGCAGGCATATGTGTGTTTAGAAGCTCCTATGTGTTAAGGAGTGCCTGCATTCTAAGCTACCTGAAGGCAGGGACTGTGTGTGTTTTCTATTCATAACCCTATTTCCAGTGCTTTGCGCATAACAGAGGCTCAGTAAGTCTTGGTTGAATGGACGCATCAATTATATTAACAACTTTACCTTGTGACCTGCTATTAGGAAAAGGCATTACTTCTTTTTTTATTGAGGTACAATTCATAAAACACAAAGTTACCATTTTAAAGTGAACAGTTCGGTGGTGTTTAGTACATTCATATATTGTGCAACCAGCAGCCTATATCATTCCGTAACATTCTCATCATCCTATTAGCAGCTGCATCCCATTCTCTCCTGCCCTCATTTTCTGGCAACCATCAATCTGCTTCCTGTTTCTACGACTTTACTTATTATGAATTTAAATTATTATTAGATACATAAATAAACAAGCTCCTATGCACCCGGCGCAGTGTGAGGCATTTCCCGTGCATTCTCTGAGGACTCTTCCATCTCAGATGTTCTGCTGTCTTCTGGCACAGAGAGTCAACTACACAAAATGTGGTTTCCCCAACAATGAGCCCAAAAGGGAGGGAATTTCCTTTAGTTGGAGAAGGGGGCACTGAGTCTCTTTTCTCTACTACTGACTGCCTTTGCGCCTTGGCTCCTCTTGCTGCCACCTAGAGCAGAGCTGTGGCTGTCCTTCCACAGCTCTCAGATCCAAGAGCAAAGACCAGCACTGGTGACTGAGATCCATCAATCAACAGGCCCAGGAGAGAAAGCTGTAAGAAGATGTAAGAGAGGAAAGCAAGTCAGGACAGATGGGTCCACCCAGAAGCCCAGAAAGGATGAGTCAGCTCTCTTGGCCCTTTCTTGGTCTCATATCCCTTTTATGAACAGTAGCCTGGCACAAAAGGTAAGTGAGAAGCCAAGGTCAGGCCCAGGAGGCAATGGAGGAAGACTAGCAGGATTCAAAGTTTGTGGGAAGGATGGGCACGGTGGCTTACACCTGTAATCCAAGCACTTTGGGAGGCCAAGGCAGGTGGATCACGAGGTCAGGATTTCAAGACCAGCCTGACCAGAATGGTGAAACGCCATCTCTACTAAAAATACAAAAATTGGCTGGGCATGGTGGCTTATGCTTGTAGTCCCAGTTACTCAGGAGGCTGAGGCAGAAGAATTGCTTAAAACAGGGAGGCGGAGGTTGCAATGAGCCGAGATCGCGCCACTGCACTCAAGCCTGGGTGACAGAGCAAGATTCTGTCTCAAAAAAAAAAAGTATGTTGGGAAGCAGCTAGTGCAGGTTTCAGACTGAGAGCTGCTGATGTAGGAGACAGTGCCCTGGGGAGAGGAGGAGACCTGCGAGAGAGGAAGGAGGCTGGCAGTCTCAGAGAGTGCGGCAGTGCCATGCCAGGAAGCAGATGAAGCATGGCTACCCAAGATGGGAATACACGATTTCCTGGCCCAAGTCACCTTCCAGGACCATCTTCCATGACCCCTATGGCAACCTGCTAAGAACTGTCCTCAGCATCCCTCCCCATGGGACAGTGAATCACCATGACCAATTTCTTCTGCCCCCTACAACTAAGCAGCAGTTCAAATAGGTTGCCTCACTCAGGAGAGACAACCCAGCCAGTTTCTGCCTCCAAATGTGAAATAACCAGGGCATCCTTGAGCAGGGGCAGAGTTGGGGCCAAAGCTTCTCCATGTGTCATGGGATATGAGCTCATCCTCATTATGTTGGGTGGGGTCTGGACAGTTAACCAGAACTGTCATGTGGAAATGGAGTTTATGAGGTCATTCACGCAGGCAGTGAGAGAACTTCCCCCATATACAATCTCCCAAATGGGGCAACCTGAGGGCAGAATATGGGGCTTCTGAGCCCTAGAATGTTGAGGTTTCCCCAACCCCTCCCTTGCATACACACACACACACACACACACACACACAAACACTCCCTCAGCTTTATCCACTGCCCTCTTTCCCACACCCTAGCTTTGCCCAGCAGTCAAAGGCTCACACATACCATCTTCTCCTTAAGGCTCTCATTATTCCGTGAGTCAGTGGGCGGGAGGCAGATCTGGCAGATACTGAGGCCCTGCTAACCCATAAGACCGGTGTGACTTCCTTGATCTGAGTCTGCTGCCCTAGACTGACTGTCACGGGCTGGGAAGAGGCAGATTCCCCCCAGATGAGGTCGGCAGCAGAGCACAAGGGCATCAGTGCCCACATGAGAATGCTTGATTAGTTCTTCAAGGCAGATGCTTGATTAGTTATTCAAGGCAGTGTGCTTTCTCTGCCCCAGGAAAGGGCACAGTCCCTGTTTTATGGGAAAAAAGAATGTAAGGTCCCTAAGTGGGCTCAGGGAACAGAGAGGTCATGAGGAGAGGATAGCACTGTAGAAATCAAGGGTCGCTTGTGAGTCCTCCATCTTTCTTTTCAGACATGACCTAGGAACGTGACAAAATCAGTGCTTTACATAGATTTACTTGGGGCTAAGAGAAAGGTGCCTGTCAGGAAAACTATGACGAATCAGCACACTTCTCAAAATTAGCCCCGCTGAGTGTTGTCTTTATAATTCCTTCTTTTTTTGATTAGATTGTAAAAAAGAGAGTTTAAATGAATGATGTCCATAAAATAAACTGTTAACCAACCATTAAAAAGAAAGGGAAGAAATAAATCAGTTTTGTTTTTACATACACACACAGACGCACACATATAAACGTTGATCAACACTAAAATGTTTAATAGTCATTTTCTGGTGGCAAAACTCACTGCTCTTCAATGAATACTTGTAAAGCACATATTATATGCAGTGGTTTTGATAGTTCTAGGGGCACAGTGGAAAAGATACCAGGTATACCCTGCTCTTACCTTACTTTCCAGCGGGAGAGATCGACAATAAGCAAGTGAACAAATGCAAAAAAAAAACTCTAGACAGTTACAGGTGAAATGAAGCACCAATCCTTCAGATACGATACACAGAGAGGGATCTCTGACAGACCCCAGCATTGACACTGAAGCTGAAAGGCATAAAAGAGCCAGAGACCTGGGGAGGGGCCTGTGGGCAGAAGGAGAGCAGGTGCCAAGCCCCCAGGTGGGGAGCTCTGGGCTCATCTCAGGAACTGAAGGCCCTCCGCGAGGTAGGAATAGAGACACATGAATTGAGTCCCCAGAGAAAGGCAGAAGCCATGTACCCTGAGCCTTTTAAACCACGGCTGGGGGTTTGGATGTTATTTCAAGTGTGCTGGCTCACTGTTGGCACTGGAGAGCGATGTGCTGAAACACCCACTCTGAAAGAGTTCTTAAGCTATTTCTAGAGCATGGTTTAGAATAGTCAATGGACAATTTGATTCTGATCTTTATATCTTCATGAATTTTAAAAAGTACTTAAGAAAGCTGTTTGATTTGTCATTATAAAAAGCAATACTTATTTTTATATTGCGTATATTCAATCCTGTTTCCTTGCCTGGAGTGGGCCATGCTTAGGAGTCCTTATGATCATGGCATTCCTGAGAACTTCTCTAACTGCAGCCTTGGGCATGAAGGCTGGCCAGCAAGTGACACCAGCAGAAGTCTCCTAGAAGTCTCTTCTACCTGACTCTACTTGGCCTAAAGTCAGACTCCCCCCACCAAAGACAGAGTTTATTTCCATACAGAATGAAATTTAAAATATGTTCTGAGACAGATGGGCTCGTGGCTCAAGAGAATGCCCCAGAAATACCACCCCTTCATGGAAGTGACCCTTTCTATCTTCAAAGCACATAACCCAGCCTGGACATCCCCGAAAGACACATAACTTTCCATTTCATGACCTTGAAAGTGAATCTCTCGGCCTAATAATGAGAACAAACTCATTTTGAAATTAGAAAAATTGAGATTCAGAGCAGAAGTTTGGCTGAGGTCACAAAACAGTAGGATGCCTCCCTCATCTTCCCTGTGCCCAGGTCAGAAAAGCATCGCAGGAATAGTTGGGCTCCCAGAACCATCTGGCCAGGCACAAGCTATGTGTCCCTGGGAATGGGGCCCTGAAGGGTTGCTGCTTCAGATGCCTGTGGTGAGTCAGGAAGGGGCTAGAGGAAGTTGACCAACTAGAGTGGTGAAACCTGTCCATCACCTTCAACCTGGAGGGAGGCCAGGCTGGAGAATGATATAAAGAGTGCCTTGACTCCTGCTCAGCTCAGCACTCCACCAGAGCCTCTGCCTCAGCCTTACTGTGAGTCTGGTAAGTGTTGGATGGTAGAACCAGGGCTGGGACTTGGGACCTCTGACAGCATACGATGGGGTTGGAGTGGGCAGCCTGGGTGGGGGTGGGCATTGCTCTGGGGCTGGTTTCAACTGGACTTTCCATCTAGGGGGACTCAGGTCACTGTACTGAGAGAAAAGTGCTTTGGGACAGAAATGCAGAACAGAGAGTAACCATCCTATGTCCTGTCTCTTCTTGTGACCATATTTTTGGATTTGTTTGTGAGAGAGAAGGAAGGAAGGGAGAAGGGAAATGGCAATCAATTTCTTTCCTAAACCTCTTGAGTTTTGACTGACCATCATTTTGCCTTCTTTATGGAGGCAAGGGGTTCAGGGAAAACCTTCTACCTTTTTTGGGGCACTATGCTGCACAGAGGGGACTGCAGAATAGGGAAAACTTTCTATTTGGAGAAACCTAGGCAGAGCAGGGGCAGGAAGACCCAACTTAGAAGTATAAGACTTGGAAGAACAAGCGCCAACTCTCAGCAACATTCCAGCTCCCCTCATCCCCACTCCAGACACCAGGACTGCAGCTAAACCTTAGGAGGTCAGGAAAGAAAGAAGCCCTGGGGTTGGACAGGCCAACCTGCTGGCTTTGCAGAGGAGAAATCCAAGGCCTAGGAGACTAAGCGACTCGCCCAGAAACACACAGCACTCAGTGGGAGATGCGGGCCCAGAATAGGTCATGTGGCTCCAGTCTGGAGCTCACGTCATGACCTCTCTGATCCTCTCTGGCACAGCCTATTGGCTTTCTGAACTTGGCGTCCTCTAAGAGAACGTTTGTTCCCTAATGCCTTACTTCTCACTGTGACATAATCCCAGAATGTATCTCTGCTACTTGGTCCTTGGAGCGATGAGGGTGGGCAGAAGGACTAGACAAGAGCAGACAGTGAGATGACAGCCAGCACCCTTGTAGAATAGCCCTGCAGACAGATCTCCTTGTTGGCTCTCCCCTGGGAACAAGGAGGCTCCTAGGAGGACATTTCCCTGCCCCTCCCCATTTCCACCCTTCACTCTCTGATGCTTTGGGGGAATGATAGTCCGGAGGTGGTAGGATAGTAAGTACCCTGCTCAAGGGAAGTGGGGATGCTAAGAAACCAAACCAGGTACTTCCGCAGATTTCCAAGGTTTCATCTACTTCCTTTGCCCTCAGTCTGTGCATCAGACCCCTCTGTCTTTCAGGTTGACAGCAGCTTATAAGATGTCCCAACAACACACACTGCCAGTGACCCTCCCCCCTGCCCTCAGTCAGGAGCTCCTCAACACTGTTCCTCCTCCAATCAATACCCAGCAGGAGCAAAGGGAGCAGCCAGCTCCACTGCCTCCCCCGTGCCAGAAGGTGCCTGTCGAGCTCCCAGTGGAGGGCTCGTCAAAGCATGAGGAAAAACACGTGGCTATTGTAAAGGGAGTGCCTGAGCACGAATGTGAGCAGCAGCAGCAAGCACAGGGGCAGGAACGGCAGCAACAGCACTGGGGGCAGGACAAGGAACATCAGAAAGCAGGAAACCCTGAGCAACAGCTTAAGCAGGAGGAAGCACAAAGGGAGACGCAGCAGCTACAGGGACAGCTGGAAGAAGAGAAGAAGCTCTTGGACCAGCAACTGGATCAAGAGCTAGCCAAGAGAGATGAGCAACTGGGAACAAAGAAAAAGCAATTGTTGGAGTTCCCAGAGCAGCAAGAGGGGCAGCTGAAGCACCTGGAGCAGCAGGAGAAGCCGTTGGAGCTCCCAGAGCAGCAGGAGGGGCAGCTGAAGCACCTGGAAGAGCAGAAAGGGCAGCTGAAGCACCTGGAGCACCAGGAGGGGCAACTGGAGCTCCCAGAGCAGGTGGATCAGCCAAAGCACCTGGAACAGCTGGAGAAGCAACTAGAACACCCAGAGCAGCAGGAGGGGCAGCTGAAGCAGCAGGAGGAGGAGCAGGAGCAGTTGAAGCATCTAGAGCAGCAGGAGGAACAGCTGAAGCATCTGGAGCAGCAGGAGGGGCACCTAGAGCACCTGGAGCAGCAGGAGGGGGAGCTAAAGCATCTGGAGCAGTGCAAGGGGCAGCTAGAGCACCTGGAGCAGCAGGAGGGGCAGCTGGAGCTCCCAGAGCAGCAGGTGGGGCAGTCAAAGCACCTGGAGCAGGAGGAGAAGCGGCTGGAACACCTGGAGCAGCAAGAGGGGCAGCTGAAACACCTGGGGAAGCAGGAGGCACAGCTGGAGCTCCCAGAGCAGGTGGGGCAGCCAAAGCACCTGGAGCAGCAGGAGAAGCAACTAGAGCACCCAGAGCAGCAGGAAGAGCAGCAGGAGGGGCAGCTGAAGGACCTGGAACAGCAGGAGAGACAGCTGGAGCAGCCTGTGTTTGCCCCAGCTCCAGGCCAGGCCCAAGACATCCAACAAGCCCTGCCCTCAAAGAGTGAAGTGTTGCTTCCTGTAGACCAGCAGCAGCAGAAGCAGGAGGTGCAGTGGCAGCAAAAGTAACCACCTGCAGTGTCCAGAGGCCCTCAGATCGTCTCACACAAGAGAAGAGAGAGCCACTGTTCCCAATTATTTCGGGTCCCCTAGGTGTCCCGTCTCATCTGTGAACTTGACTCTGCCCCTCCACATGTCTCTTTAACGGGGTGAGGGTGAGGGAGAGAGGGAATTATTATCCAGTGCCACCCTCAATGAGCCCAATCCCAACCTCAGGTGAGCAGAGCCTCTACTTGAGGGACTGCTGTTACAATAGGAATCCCTACTTCCCCAGTACTGAAGCCGAATCAGTGAGTGTGTACAATGATATGTAATAAATCCTGGAAGTCTTGGGATCCTCTATTCTCTTTAGCTTTTTCTTCTCTCTCACCACATAAAAACTTGTGTACGGGTCAATGGCTGCAAGAGACTCCTATGGCCCTTTCTCAAAGGAGGACAGACATCTTAATCTTTTTTTAAAATTTTGGTCCCCAAACCACTCAATAGATCCAACATTTCCTGAAAACAAAATAAAACCCAAATCAAACAAAACCAAAAACGACTTCACTTATGCACTTGAAAACAGCACTTGCCGGTCATGAAAAGGAGATAGTGGTTCTGGTTGTATCCCAGCCCAACACGACCTTACACCGCAACACCCCACCCAGCCCCTGCAGAGCCCACCTTCTGCTCCCAACTCAGCTCCTCTCAGGAGGGGAACTGAGAAGATGCTAGGAAAGCTTGGGGGCTCCATCTAGGTTCTGGTCTCTTCCCTGGAAACATTTCCAGGCTCTTCTACCTGGGTTTTCTCTCATGATTTCCAAAAGTCTTATGGTCTGCCTGCTTGGCTGAGGAAGACTTTAGAAAAGCAATAGAGATAGAATTGGGCAAGGTGGGGAGAGGAGGTGTTCCAGATTGTCTCTGAGGGAAAGTGACAGCATGATTAAAGGAAGTAAACATTAGGCCAGTGCAGTCGTGGAAGCCAAAACTACTGACCAAGCTGGAGAAATACAGACCCAGTCACTGCAGATATCACCCTCCTGCTACCTGGCTCCCTGACATCTCCATAGTCTTTATTGCCATCAATCACATCAGGACCAGGCGTTCTCCTTTCCTGGGAAAAGCTCTGCCTTTAATTTTTCAAATTGCTCATTTTTAATTATTTAACCACCACATTTTAGGCAGGCTGTCTCAAGCTACTCAAAGCTATTTTACTGCGGGCACAAGGAGATATCAGAGACTTCCCTACTGAGGTCCAGATCTGCACAGCGCAGCACTTGGCATTTCTTCCTCCCCACCCAACGCCAGCAACACTCACTGTGTTTCCTCCTTAGGCGTTCTCTCTTTGAGGTAAGGAAACCGCCACTGCCATCTGTGAATTCACAATTATTCCTCATTCTTCCTCCTCTTCCCTACCCACTCCCATCAAGGATCGAGTCCTCGCTGTGTCCACCAACACCTGAGCTCTGCCTGAAGTCATTTCTTAGTTGAATTGTTGCAACAGCCTTCCAGCTGGCCTCTCTTGCTCTCTGTCTCCACACACCCTGCATTCCATTCAACACCCAGAGGACAGGGTGTTCTACTTAAAATTCTGTTCTAACCACAACCCTCCTTGGGTCAGCACTTGTCAGTGGTTCTCATGACTTAGACCATGAGAAGGCAGGCTCAAGTCCTCAAAGCAGCAGGCTCGGGCAGGACTGGGAAGGGAGACTGGGGACAGAAGGCACAGTAATCAGAAGCACCCAGTGTGTGTGTGTAAATTTTCTTGTCGATGTTTAAAAAACAGACTTTTTCAGGACAGTTTTAGATTTGTAGAAAAGTTAGGAAAATACTAGAGTTCTCATATCATCCACACACCGTTACTCCTATTATTAATATTTTACGTGAGTAGGGCACATTTGCTACAAATTATTGCAACTCGATTGGTATTATTAGCTGAAGCTCTTGGTTTATTCAGATGTCCTTAGTTTCGCCTAAGAACCTTTTGCTGTTTCATATCCTGTCCAGCATTTCACATTGCAAGTGCTTGTCTTGTCTCCTTAGGCTTCTCCCTTGACAGAGTCCGTTCCTCAGACATTTTTCACTGTTGTTTTTGATGATCTTGACAGTTGTGAGGGGTGCTGCTCAAATATTTTGTAGGATATCCCTCAATTTGTATTCTGTTTGTCTGATGCTTTTCTCATGATTAGATGGAGTGTGGGTTTTTAGGAGGAAGGCCGCAGAGGAAGACTGTGGTCATCGACCATCTTCACTGTGGTCTTCAGTGAATAAGCATCATTCATTCTCACCATGTCATACAAAGTATACGTATATCCGACATGACTCATCACAGTTGCTATTAAACTCCATCGCTTAGCAGAGAGAATGTGTGTCAGTTTCACCACTGTAAAGCTACTCTCCTCACCCTCCCCCATGCCCCCTTCTATACTGTGCTCTGGAAGAAATCACTATGCAAAGCTCACCACTAAAAAGTGGAGTGTAAAGCTTCCCATCATTGAGGATGGAGAATCTACATAAGTTCATAAATTATTTGGAATTTTCAGTACAGATTTGTTCCCACCCCATTTATTTATATCAGCATGGACTCATGACTCATTATTTTTTACTTTGGGCTACAACCCAATAGTACTTTATTTGTTCAAATTGTTCCAGCTTTGGCCATTGTGAGCTCTTTCATTGACTCCTGTGTTCTTTAAAATTTATTTCCATCAATGTGGGTTTTTTTTAATTTTATTTTTATACATGCATTTATGTTCAGTTTGTTTTGTTTTTGCATATTCCTTACTTTCTGACACTATAAGATATTCCAGGCTCATCTCATCTTGTATATTTCCTGCCCCAGTCCTAGAATTAACAATTTCTTCAAGGACTCCTGTTTCATTTTTTTGGAGAATGGCATTAGAAACTAAGAACTGGGAACTAGATATGGCCATTACTACTGGGGTATCATTTCCCTTAGGCCCTCTTAACTGGCAAAGGAAGTATATATGTGTACACTAACCTGTATGTGTGGGCATGTATGTGTGTTTTTCTGGTAGCAATCTGTATCTACATTAAGCTAGACACAGTTCATACTAATGTCTCCAACTATAATTTATTACCACATGGATCACTCTGGTGTCCTCTCATTTCTTATATGAAAATCCTCACTCCAGCTACGAGAAACCTGCCCCCCAATTGTAATCTATTTTCTTAATTATTCATTCTCAGTATTCAGAAGTGACTGTACTGTTTTACTTTCCCACCAGCAATGAGTTCCTCCTGTTGTCTTTCATTTTCACCAGGATTTGGTGTTAGCTTTTATAATTTTAGCCATATTAATAGGTGTGTGGTGATAGCTCATTGTTTCCGTTTGCAATTTTCTTATGCATGATGCTAAGCATATACTCGTAGGTTTATTTGCCATCTTCATATCTCTTTTATGAGTTGTTCAGATATTTTGCCCATTTTTTAATAGGGTTGTTAATTTTCATTCTGTTGAGTTTCTAAAATTATTTTCTATATTGGGGTTATCATGTATGTGTTTGGCAAATATTTTCTCCTCGTCTGAGGCTTGTCTTTTCATTCTGTTACAATGTCTTTTGCAAAGCACTAGTTTATAATTTTAATGAAGTCCAACTTACCAATTTTTTTTCAGGAATCACACTTTGGTATTGTATCAAAAACTCATCAACAATTCCAAGGCCGCTTAGATTTTCTCCCATGTTGTGCCTTAGAACTTTTAATTTTATATCCTTCATTTAGGAGGACTATGACGTAATGAATTGATAGGTCTCAAGCCATTATTTTGCATATAGGTATCCAAATGTTTCAACACAGGACACCCCCTTTTACCCCCATTCAATCTGCATGGTACCAAGCGTAAAAAAACATTCTTCCAACTCATGGTTTTTACAATGGAAAAAGTAAGATCCAGGTGAACAATCAGCTTCCCCACCATCTTGCATTCCCTGGCAGGAGACCCGTCCCTGCTTCAGCCCCACTGGAAACATCATAAATGCCTGAAGGGAGACATATCCCTGAGGATAGCCAGAAACAAAGTAGGGGGTGGCTGCCATCCCCAGGCCTGAAAATTCTGTACTGTAACTCTGCCAAAGGAGATGCCCAGTCAGACTGGCTGTTCAGCAGCATTGCACTGAGAGGTCCTCAGGTAACCGGTTCCCATGTGTCGGAAAGGTTGTTTCTAGAGTGTTTTTACGTTTAAATTGGGCTTCTTCTAGGCAACGTATAGTTGGATATTGGTTTTAATCTATGCTTATAATCACTGTCATTTTATTGGTGTATTTAGACCATTCACATTTGAAGTGATTTGTGATATAAATGGATTATTATCTACCATGTTTAAAGCTGTTTTATAGTCATTGTACGTGTGTTCTTTGCCTCTTTTTCTGCTTTCTCTAGTTTTAATTGATATTTTATTATTTTTATTTTATCTTCTCTGTTGATATATGATTATATGTTTACTTTTATATATTTATTTTATAAAATATATAAAAATATATATTTATAATATATTATATATTACTATATAAAATAGAGTATTACTATATATAATTTATTTATAATTATAAATATGTATATATTATAAATATATTCTAATATATTTATTAAATATATTTTATATATTACATATGTTTATAATATATTGCTAATATAAATATGTTTATATTATATTATTTATTATATATAATATAGTGATAAACATAATAATTAATATATAATAGTATATTATATTATTATAAATATATTATTTATGTTATTATGTATATCACATATAAATATATTAATTAGTTATATATATTTATTATATATTTATATATTATATAGATGTTTACTTTTAAAAATTAGTGATTTCCCTGGAGTTTAAAACATACATTTACAATAAATCTAAGTCCTCTTTGAAGTAAAACTATACAGCATAACAGGTAGTGCAGAAAACTCATAACAGTATTCTCAATTCTTCCTTTTGTCATTCATATCATGTATCCATTTTCTATAATGATCCAACACATTAATATATTCTCACTTTGAATAGCTACTAGATCAATTAAGAATAAGAAAAATAAGCATTTTTTTTTTTTTTTTTTTGAGACGGAGTTTCACTCATGTTACCCAGGCTGGAGTGCAATGGCGCGATCTCGGCTCACTGCAACCTCCACCTCCTGGGTTCAGGCAATTCTCCTGCCTCAGCTTCCTGAGTAGCTGGGATTATAGGCACGCGCCACCATGCCCAGCTAATTTTTTGTATTTTTAGTAGAGACGGGGTTTCACCATGTTGACCAGGATGGTCTCGATCTCTTGACCTCGTGATCCACCCGCCTCGCCCTCCCAAAGTGCTGGGATTAGAGGCTTGAGCCACCGCG